CTTTTAAAATTTTGCACATGGAGGATATGAAATAATTTTTTTTAGGTTTTATATACACAGTTGAATTACTAAAAAATCATAAATTACTATATCAATACCATAGAATTCCACTATAATTTATCAAGCTTAGTAACTAAGCTGTATTTCAGTCTAAAAAAAATATGACATTTCGAGCAGACTAAAGACACATCCTACCTCCTTGAGATCTTGGTTTCAAAGAATGAGATGGAATCCTAACACTTTAAAATGGCTTAGAAAGCCACTAGGGGGACATTTTGAGCTTTTGAATGGTTATTCACATGTCATGTATAAAAGTAAGTGTATATAAGGGATAGTTTCCAAAAATGGAAAGAGGTGGATGGGGTGCCACTTTGTTTAATTTATTACATGAACAATATCTTAGCAAATAGAAAAGATAAGAGGTTCTTATATTATATTATAGCTTGTCAATATCGGTAATTTGAGTTCCTAATTTATACAAAACTGTAGACTTAGTATTTTGACATCACAAACATCTAATTTAAACCAGTGCTGCATTCAACATACCACATGACACACAAAGATTGATGTTTAACTGTGTTTTAATATTTACTTTTAAATTAAAAATTGAGTAATGTATAATACTAAAATTTGAATTATAATCTACAGTTTGATACCAAAATTATTGACATAAATTCAAGAAATAGTAGTTCAATAAAATTTTGAATACAAGTCAACAAACGTGATGACATAGCCTTTCACCCCTGACTCATCTTGAAAGGGTTAAAAGGGATTATTATATCTCAATTGAAAATATTTTTAATGGTATGCAATAGTAATAACTTTTTTATGAATAATGTTTCCTTATTCATAAATAAACTAAAAAATAATGGATATAGAGATAAAGATCTAATGTCATTTTTTTACTATTTTTTTATAATAAATATATATATCTTTTTTAAATAATAAACTTTCAATTATGGAAAACTCCTTACTTAGAGGCCATTAGTTTATCAAGGGTGACCTTGAATAAATTAGTTATAAATCCAGTTTTTTTTTATTCTGTATACCGAGACTTCAAGTAGCTGGGCCTGCCTCAGCTTTCCCGTGTTATACTTGAATAAATTTTCGACAATTTATAAGTAAATTACTTACTTTCTTTTTTTTTTTAAGAACTTTATAAGGGTTGTGGTTGGAGAGTTATATACTGTAGAAATTGTGGGTGGTTCTGTTCCTACTGTTAAAACTTAAATAACTTTAAGGGTAATTGCCTTCCCACATCTGACTACAAACACCAAAAGGCAGTAGAAGGTGAGATGTTGTGGGATTAAGCACTCACATCCGCACCCTTGTTTTGATTTTCTATGAGGGTAAACTTGTTTAACTTCAGTGTTTTGGATTTTGCTTGATATCCCCAATGCTATGGGTGATATTACCACAAGCTTTATCTGTTTATGACTATGGATGACTGACCAAGAGCAAAAATAGATGTATTAAATGATTATAAATTCTTTATTGTTTAATAGTGTTGACCTAAATTGCCTGTCAACAATAATTGTAATCGATAATCATTGAGCTATTTATTTATATATATACAGAGACATCACAAAAGTAAATAGACACCATGATGTTTATTCAATAGTCATTTAATTAAGAAAGACATCCAACGGCTCCCATGGCCAAGTCAGTCACCTGATATTGACCCCCATCGAGCATGTCTGGGCCATACTTGCTCGAGCAGTGAGAAGAAGTTCCAGAAAACCAGCGCCCCGTGGAGAGCTACTTGATGTTTTGCGTGCAGCCTGGGTCAAGATCCTACAGGAGAAAATTGCAGAACTCATTGATTCCATGCCAGAACGAGTCAAAGCACTGAAAAATGCTAGTGGCAAATCAACTAAGTACTGATGCACATTTGTAAACATTTTTGTTAAGTTGATAATGTGAGATAAATGACTATTGAAAAAATCATGATATCTGTTTACTTTTGAGATGTCTCTGTATATCCTGAGGACTGTCACTCATGGACTTCATGAGTAAAGCAGATAGGCATTTTTGCCCATTCCTACTGATACCTGATTCTTACAATCCAGGTTTTTCTGCTTTTCAAAACAGGGAAACCCAGACACCCATTGCACTGTCTCCGGTAGGTTATTCCTCTGGACCCCACAACATGTCTTCTCCCCTCTTTCTTCTAGTGGAGCACAGGATAACTTGCCACTTCCAGTTTCCAGTCACTGGAGTGGTGGACCATGGAGGTTTCTTCACAAGTGGGTTTTGTACAATAACACTATCTCATAGCCATATGTACTCACTCATGAGAAGAGGGCTGTCATGGTTATACATACATTACTGCACTATGTCTATTATGCAGGGTGCTTCCACTGGGTGTTTTCTGCCCAGATGGACCACACTTGACATAATTCAATGTATACCAAGAGACTTCCCCCAAATGTTTTTGCCTGGGTGGACCTCACTAAGTTATCTTGATATCAATCCAAGGCACTTCCCATGGATATGTTTGCTTGGGTGGATTGCACTTGTTGATTTCTCTGTCATTGTTATGCTGCATATTACACATACAATATAAGATGAAATCTCTTAAGCAAGGCACTTCCTCTGGATGTATTAGCCCAGATGGACTGGGCATAATTCATTGTATATCAAGAGGTTTCCTCCAGATGTTTTTGCCTAGATGGATCTCACTTGGCTATCTTGATATCAATCCAAGGTGCTTCCACTATATGTTTTGCCCAGGCATACTGCACTTGTTGATTTTACAAACTTATGCAAGACACTTCCATGTTGTTTTTGTCCTTGAACCACACTTGGCATAATACGTTGTATCCCAAGGTGCTTCCCCCCAGATGTTTTCTACCTGGGTGGACTGCACTTGGCCTATTCATATACAGTCCTCTAGCCCTAGCCATGTATTCTCGTCATTTCCACCCCATGTGTCTTACCTTCTTTACTGGGTGAAGAGTATACCTGTTCCAGAAGTAGTGCTACACCCCCACAGGTGTGCCTCGTATTTTAATAGTGGCATATCTTCTTTCTTTCATAGCTGTTGCTCTCCAATTGATTGTTTGCTTTTGCGCCTTCACTGGCCCCTCCACCTTTCCAATGTGGGATTCTATCTGTAGGATAGGCAAGGTAGCACTATTTTGAAAGTTAACATTTTCTAACACTGAGAATATATTTCCAATAGATACTTACCTCTCCTCACTCACTTCCCACTCTTCCTCCCCTTTAATTTGCTGGAGTTTTCGGGTTTGTATATGCCAATTCTCGAAAGTGAGGATTGTGCTGCAATGGTAGAGGGAGCTACCTGCACTAGTATAGAGAGCATAATGGGATTGGTGGAGGGTGGTCACATG